TTCGATTTTTCGATATTTCGATTTTTCGATTTTTCGATTTTTCGATTTTTCGATTTTTCGATTTTTCGATTTTTCGATTTTTCGATTTTTCGATTTTTCGATTTTTCGATTTTTCGATTTATCGATTTTTCGATTTTTCGATTTTTCGATTTTTCGATTTTTAGATTTTTAGATTTTTAGATTTTTAGATTTTTAGATTTTTAGATTTTTAGATTTTTAGATTTTTAGATTTTTAGATTTTTAGATTTTTAGATTTTTAGATTTTTAGATTTTTAGATTTTTAGATTTTTAGATTTTTAGATTTTTAGATTTTTAGATTTTTAGATTTTTAGATTTTTAGATTTTTAGATTTTTAGATTTTTAGATTTTTAGATTTTTAGATTTTTAGATTTTTAGATTTTTAGATTTTTAGATTTTTAGATTTTTAGATTTTTAGATTTTTAGATTTTTAGATTTTTCGATTTTTCGATTTTTCGATTTTTTGATTTTTCGATTTTTCGATTTTTCGATTTTTCGATTTTTCGATTTTTCGATTTTTCGATTTTTCGATTTTTCGATTTTTCGATTTTTCGATTTTTCGATTTTTCTTTTTTTCGATTTTTCGATTTTTCGATTTTTCGATTTTTCGATTTTTCGATTTTTCGATTTTTCGATTTTTCGATTTTTCGATTTTTCGATTTTTCGATTTTTCGATTTTTCGATTTTTCGATTTTTCGATTTTTCGATTTTCGATTTATCGATTTATCGATTTATCGATTTTTCGATTTTTCGATTTTTCGATTTTTCGATTTTTCGATTTTTCGATTTTTAGATTTTTAGATTTTTAGATTTTTAGATTTTTAGATTTTTCGATTTTTCGATTTTTCGATTTTTCGATTTTTCGATTTTTCGATTTTTCGATTTTTCGATTTTTCGATTTTTCGATTTTTCGATTTTTCGATTTTTCGATTTTTCGATTTTTCGATTTTTCGATTTTTCGATTTTTCGATTTTTCGATTTTTCGATTTTTCGATTTTTCGATTTTTCGATTTTTCGATTTTTCGATTTTTCGATTTTTCGATTTTTCGATTTTTCGATTTTTCGATTTTTCGATTTTTCGATTTTTTGATTTTTTGATTTTTCGATTTTTCGATTTTTCGATTTTTCGAATTTTCGATTTTTCGATTTTTCGATTTTTCGATTTTTGATTTTTCGATTTTTCGATTTTTGGATTTTTCGATTTTTCGATTTTTCGATTTTTCGATTTTTCGATTTTTCGATTTTTCGATTTTTCGATTTTTCGATTTTTCGATTTTTCGATTTTTCGATTTTTCGATTTTTCGATTTTTCGATTTTTCGATTTTTCGATTTTTCGATTTTTCGATTTTTCGATTTTCCGATTTTTCGATTTTTCGATTTTTCGATTTTTCGATTTTTCGATTTTTCGATTTTTCGATTTTTCGATTTTTCGATTTTTCGATTTTTCGATTTTTCGATTTTTCGATTTTTCGATTTTTCGATTTTTCGATTTTTCGATTTTTCGATTTTTCGATTTTTCGATTTTTCGATTTTTCGATTTTTCGATTTTTCGATTTTTCGATTTTTCGATTTTTCGATTTTTCGATTTTTCGATTTTTCGATTTTTCGATATTTCGATATTTCGATTTTTCGATATTTCGATATTTCGATATTTCGATTTTTCGATTTTTCGATTTTTCGATTTTTCGATTTTCGATTTATCGATTTTTCAATTTTTCAATTTTTCGATTTTTCGATATTTCGATATTTCGATTTTTCGATTTTTCGATTTTTCGATTTTTCGATTTTTCGATTTTTCGATTTTTCGATTTTTCGATTTTTCGATTTTTCGATTTTTCGATTTTTCGATTTTTCGATTTTTCGATATTTCGATTTTTCGATTTTTCGATTTTTCGATTTTTCGATTTTTCGATTTTTCGATTTTTCGATTTTTCGATTTTTCGATTTTTCGATTTTTCGATTTTTCGATTTTTCGATTTATCGATTTTTCGATTTTTCGATTTTTCGATTTTTAGATTTTTAGATTTTTAGATTTTTAGATTTTTAGATTTTTAGATTTTTAGATTTTTCGATTTTTCGATTTTTCGATTTTTCGATTTTTCGATTTTTCGATTTTTCGATTTTTCGATTTTTCTATTTTTCGATTTTTCGATTTTTTGATTTTTTGATTTTTCGATTTTTCGATTTTTCGATTTTTCGATTTTTCGATTTTTCGATTTTTCGATTTTTCGATTTTTCGATTTTTCGATTTTTCGATTTTTCGATTTTTCGATTTTTCGATTTTTCGATTTTTCGATTTTTCGATTTTTCGATTTTTCGATTTTTCGATTTTTCGATTTTTCGATTTTTCGATTTTTCGATTTTTCGATTTTTCGATTTTTCGATTTTTCGATTTTTCGATTTTTCGATTTTTCGATTTTTCGATTTTTCGATTTTTCTTTTTTTCGATTTTTCGATTTTTCGATTTTTCGATTTTTCGATTTTTCGATTTTTCGATTTTTCGATTTTTCGATTTTTCGATTTTTCGATTTTTCGATTTTTCGATTTTCGATTTATCGATTTTTCAATTTTTCGATTTTTCGATATTTCGATATTTCGATTTTTCGATTTTTCGATTTTTCGATTTTTCGATTTTTCGATTTTTCGATTTTTCGATTTTTCGATTTTTCGATTTTTCGATTTTTCGATTTTTCGATATTTCGATTTTTCGATTTTTCGATTTTTCGATTTTTCGATTTTTCGATTTTTCGATTTTTCGATTTTTCGATTTTTCGATTTTTCGATTTTTCGATTTATCGATTTTTCGATTTTTCGATTTTTCGATTTTTCGATTTTTAGATTTTTAGATTTTTAGATTTTTAGATTTTTAGATTTTTAGATTTTTAGATTTTTAGATTTTTAGATTTTTAGATTTTTAGATTTTTCGATTTTTCGATTTTTCGATTTTTTGATTTTTCGATTTTTCGATTTTTCGATTTTTCGATTTTTCGATTTTTCGATTTTTCGATTTTTCGATTTTTCGATTTTTCGATTTTTCGATTTTTCGATTTTTCTTTTTTTCGATTTTTCGATTTTTCGATTTTTCGATTTTTCGATTTTTCGATTTTTCGATTTTTCGATTTTTCGATTTTTCGATTTTTCGATTTTTCGATTTTTCGATTTTTCGATTTTTCGATTTTTCGATTTTTCGATTTTTCGATTTTTCGATTTTCGATTTATCGATTTATCGATTTATCGATTTTTCGATTTTTCGATTTTTCGATTTTTCGATTTTTCGATTTTTAGATTTTTAGATTTTTAGATTTTTAGATTTTTAGATTTTTAGATTTTTCGATTTTTCGATTTTTCGATTTTTCGATTTTTCGATTTTTCGATTTTTCGATTTTTCGATTTTTCGATTTTTCGATTTTTCGATTTTTCGATTTTCGATTTATCGATTTATCGATTTATCGATTTTTCGATTTTTCGATTTTTCGATTTTTCGATTTTTCGATTTTTCGATTTTTAGATTTTTAGATTTTTAGATTTTTAGATTTTTAGATTTTTCGATTTTTCGATTTTTCGATTTTTCGATTTTTCGATTTTTCGATTTTTCGATTTTTCGATTTTTCGATTTTTCGATTTTTCGATTTTTCGATTTTTCGATTTTTCGATTTTTCGATTTTTCGATTTTTCGATTTTTCGATTTTTCGATTTTTCGATTTTTCGATTTTTCGATTTTTCGATTTTTCGATTTTTCGATTTTTCGATTTTTCGATTTTTCGATTTTTCGATTTTTTGATTTTTTGATTTTTCGATTTTTCGATTTTTCGATTTTTCGAATTTTCGATTTTTCGATTTTTCGATTTTTCGATTTTTGATTTTTCGATTTTTCGATTTTTGGATTTTTCGATTTTTCGATTTTTCGATTTTTCGATTTTTCGATTTTTCGATTTTTCGATTTTTCGATTTTTCGATTTTTCGATTTTTCGATTTTTCGATTTTTCGATTTTTCGATTTTTCGATTTTTCGATTTTTCGATTTTTCGATTTTTCGATTTTTCGATTTTTCGATTTTTCGATTTTTCGATTTTTCGATTTTTCGATTTTTCGATTTTTCGATTTTTCGATTTTTCGATTTTTTGATTTTTTGATTTTTTGATTTTTTGATTTTTTGATTTTTCGATTTTTCGATTTTTCGATTTTTCGATTTTTCGATTTTTTGATTTTTTGATTTTTCGATTTTTCGATTTTTTGATTTTTTGATTTTTCGATTTTTCGATTTTTCGATTTTTCGATTTTTCGATTTTTCGATTTTTCGATTTTTCGATTTTTTGATTTTTCGATTTTTCGATTTTTCGATTTTTCGATTTTTCGATTTTTCGATTTTTCGATTTTTCGATTTTTCGATTTTTCGATTTTTCGATTTTTCGATTTTTCGATTTTTCGATTTTTCGATTTTTCGATTTTTCGATTTTTCGATTTTTTGATTTTTTGATTTTTTGATTTTTTGATTTTTTGATTTTTTGATTTTTCTATTTTCTTTTATTGAATAATTAAGAGGTTAATATTGTTTAACGCTGCACCGCTGTGCCGGTCGAAGTGGGGGGTGTTAGGTTTTTTTTCGTTACGGAATTTCTTGATTCGGTCGCCGCGCTCAAAGCCCGCGATAAAAGCTATGCAATAGCTTAAAAACATGTAAAGCTGTGAAAAGAAAAATGTTAGGTAAAACACATAGACAAAGTTAATGTACCAGAAATAAAACAACATGTAATAGAAAATAAGTAAAAATAAGACAATTATTGCCACCAAGACCAACACATAATAATTTCAAAAACAATGAAGTTGTTCCATTGCCTCCGAACTAATAGAAAAATTAAAATTTTACAATTTAATAAGTTCGGCAAAACATATTGAAAAATTTTAATTACAGGTCGTTACATTTTGTATAAAAATAAACAAAATCTATTTGAGACAATTTTTATTTTGTTTTATTTTGTTTAGAAAGTCCTTCATTCCGGTTGAAGCAGAAAAACCCGTTCAAATTATACCTGAAAACAACTTATGCGTAGGCGAGGGAAAAATATCCGACAACACAGTAAACAGAATGTCTTACCAGCCTCACAGAGTAAAACCCACGTGTCCAATCTATCCATGTGAACATAAACTTATTGGAGAGGGACCAATGCAAGATATCACAACAGCCAAACACGACTATGTACCTAAGCCATTTATCAGAACAGAGCCTGTGAAACCTGCAACAAATTTATTCTCTTCCGAGTGTCCATTGAGCGACAAAACTGTAAATCGTATGTCTTATACACCCCAAGACGTAGAGAAGGCTAGAGTTACTCCCATAAGACCGACCAATGCTATTCCTGCACCTAGTGGAAAACTAAGTTGTAATACAGTGCAAAAAATGTCGTATCAACCCTGGAAGCCACAAGAGAAAATCAACATGCCTTGGGCCGAGAAACCGCGTTATATACCTCCGAAGCTTAGGATGGAAGACAACACTATTAACAAACTAAGTTATGCACCTCCTGGAGAATATGTTGAATGTGATCCTAGCGATCCCCATTGTATTGATTGTCCTGATGGCCAATGTGCTGTGCCTGCTTGCATGGGTCCCACATGCTCCATGCCATGTTGTTGTCCTAGAGCTGCGTGTTAGCCTAACTGATATTTTTGTTTTAATTAAATCTCTTGTGAAATTGCTCACACTTTGTTTGAAATATTTTATACACATTTTTATACAATCAGTGTTGCTTATTAAACAACTACTTATTGATTGAAAAACAAGATTCTTGCGAACAACAGTAGCGTGGAATAACCCTGCAGATATTGAACGATTTACTAAAATGAGCGAAGATGAAGTTGCACCTATTAAGAACTAAAATCATATTTTAGATGAAAATAAGTATAATATTATCAGAAATTTGCTTTACTAAATTTTCCATTTATCATAATTATGCATTCATTTTTAAGGGTAACATAGCCAAGGATCCAGAACATTTTTTTTATTCATGAAACAATAATTTTGTGACCTTTTTAAAATATGTAAAATAATGTAGTTTAAACCAATTGTACATTTTTCTGTAGATCATGTCCTTTATTTATCTTAAAAGGCATTTCCACATTCACATAATATTGTTGTTCAAGAGAAGCTAAAATAAATTGAATTTGTTGGTTTTGTCAAATTTTTGCGAAACTACTATATTTTTCTTGTATACATTTTATATTGTACCCAATAAATATGAATCTATACGTTTTTTTATTTTTGTCAAACTTATACAGGGAATTTTAATAAACTTTTAAATATTTTAAAGGTAAGGAAACTCTTTGCTTAATTATAATCGTAACTTGAACCCTCTCCTAACCATGGCCACCCACCATGTTCTTTTAAACGAAACACTGCGTATATTATTGAATTTTTCTATTCTCTAATATTTTATCTAAAGTGTAAAGTAAATCGAGATATTTCAGTTTATTAACAAACAATTTAGTTATCAAAAAATTAATGGAAAATCATATTATTCATGAACAGTATAGTTATTTTCTATAAGTTTTCATAGGGAAATAAATTGTTTTGTTAAAATTACAATTTTGGATTTTTTTTTTGAATTTAGTGTTTGTGTTTTCCTTTTTAACAATTATTGGTTTGTCTATTTTATGGACATTATTTAGTAAACCTGTTTTTAATCGAAGACTCTTTGTAGTATGTGTCGAGCTATTTACATAATTTTATTTATTTTATTAAAGTAAAATACTTTTTAGTGAACTGATGGAATCTAAAAGAAAGAAATGTATTTATCGCCCATGTCTACATCGAACGGGTTCGAATACTAGTTATATTTCTTTTCCCAAAGTTCCAGGAAGGTATGCAAAATAAATTATGCAATTTATATGAGGAAAACTGATAGCTCTACCTAACAAATAATTTAAATTTTGATAGGGCTATAGATTTGTTTGTGTTTTCCATTTCCGGTTGCCATTAAAATAAACTAAAACCTTTCTTATAAATCAAATTTGGTTCCTCGTCTCCTGGTTTTTGTTGCAAGTTGCAAAATAAACTTCATTTTTAGCTGTGGTATTTTTCGCTTTCTGCTATCACTAGAAAATAAACCATGTTCTTATTTTCATCTCAGATTTGTTAAAAATATTTTTTGTTCTTAACCAGATATGTAAATAAGATGAAAAAGAATAAACTGTGATACAAGAGACAACGGACAACTGTCAACTGTCTGTACATCTCACAGAAGTACATCTTCAACTTCAGTTGCTTTTTTGCAGTAAACTGTATAGTTAAGAACAGTTCTCTGCTTTTTTCTTTGTCAATTATCACATAAATTAAATTTACTCCAAAAGCCCTAAAATTTAATTTGGAAGAAATAGATCTTACTTGACTTACCAGCTCTGCATTAAAAGACCACAGAGCAGATCCCATCGAGAAGCCACAGATGTATTAAAAGACCAGCTTCGAGTAAAATAAGTAAAACGAGGTACTTTTCAAACGTTGCAATGTTAACTGTATATTATTTATTTGGCTATTTAATCAAAATAATTATTTTATTATCATTTTTAAATAAAATTATATTTATGTACCTACGACAATGTATTTTTTATTTTTTAGGGTTCCCATTTGGTTAAGAGCCTGTTATCGAGAAGACTTGCTTATTATAACTAGCGAATAATTACACAAAAACCACCAGTTGTGTGAAAAACATTTCCAGCCCAGCAGTTTTTCAGTTGGATCAACTAGGAAACGTTTATTTTAAAATGTACTTCTGACAATATTCTGGCACACACCCGCAACAAATGAAAACAGTGATCGTTCGGAAAGAATCTTTGCCCTCAACATCTACTACTAAATCCCACGACGATTTTCTTATAACACCAGATATTAAAAATAATATAAAAGTATTGAGTTTATGTATTTTTTTAATTCAAATATTTTTTTTAGGTCCCAGCAAAAGAATAACTAACTTTGAAGATTGAAGAGATAATGTTGTTTCTATTGCATGTGCCAGTCCCAAAAATATCTTTTGGTTGGACCACACATTTTTAAACCAACGATTTGCAGATATAGTTAAATCTCAAGCGGAATTTAAGAACAGAAAGCCTCTAGCTAGTAGAAATTCCAATGAATACAAGCAGTTTGCGCTTACCTTGAATTTTTTAGGACCTAAGCCATATTCCTTTGTCTATAATTTTGTGCCTTTTGTGTGTATTTTTCATATTGAGATTTTTATTAATTTTATTTTTGTACTACGTGTTTTTCGAAATTTGGATTAATTAAAATTGATAGTTATTATGGGTACGTGTTTTATTTATAACAACCTTTTTCCTACAATACTTTTCTTCAAATCTCAATTTAATTCAAAGTTTTAATAATTATGTATCTAAAAATGCAAATTTATGTGTACTACAACTTCATGTGATTTATGAACAAATCCTAAAGCCAGTCTGGATTTATGACATACAGTTATGAGGATGTGCCATGATATAAGTTTTCAAAAAAAGTCCTAACATGCATCGTTGATGCACCCTGGTTCTATCTAAATGAATATCTTCATACAGACATGAAGATGCCAACAGTCAAAGAAGAAATAAAGAGGTTACTGCAAAGCATAAGGATCAACTCAACTCCAACAGAAGACTCGAAAGAAAGAAAATCCATTTGAGCTAGTGCAGTGAATGTTAGTGCTAGTGTAAAATAGTGTAATAAATCGTTACACCAATTATTGGTGATGCTTTTCTATCAACGATGAACAACTACTAGATTAATTTTGTTTACAAAAATTTAATTTCAAACAATCACGGATTTAATCACCGAGTTGTCAAATTAATATAAGAGAGTATGGCGAAAGTCTTATAACAAGGATTGTTTATGGTATTTTAACATATCAAAAGGCTTTTAAAATTATAGTTGGGAAGTATATTTGCATTTTTAGTGCCAGTTATTGTCAGTTTAATTTATTTTTCTAGATCCAAATATCATAGTTGAAGGTGTTTTCCAGAAAAGTACACAATTAATTAATACATTAATAAATTGTAATAGAATCACTCTGTTAAAGAGTTAATGTTATCTAAAAAAACTGATGATTTACCAACAATGAGTTCTGGTTCCTTAAGTGAAAACCTTTTTTAGTTTAGCGATCAGTACAATTTACTTCAAAATAAATTTTTGGAAAATCTTATTTTTCTAATTATATCACTAACCTTCAATTCAGTGAAGAAATAGTGCATTTTGCTAAATAAATTTGTTACAGATATTTAAATCCTTTTCTCAGTGTATAATTCGAATTTATACAAATCTTGTTCATTTTTACTAGTGTAACAACCGGCAAAAACGTTAACTGTCACCAAGTGTCATTTTAAATTGTGACAACCCCGACATCAAAGTGCCGACGCAAGACCTCGCTTCTGTAATAGGTAAGTTATTCGGTGATTATAGTTCACGACGTCTTTAAGGAGGGACCATGGTTTAATTGGATGAGACTTGTTTAAAGTCGGTAGACTTCAGTGAGGTGAATCCGAAGATCTGTTGCCTTACAAAGCAGAGCAGGTACTCAGAATATGGTCCGCGGATTCGTCTTCGACGCTGTAGAATCAACAGTCCGATATTTGTCCTTCTCATGTGGTTACCTAGTCGACAATGTTCTGTCATCAGTTTCGTAAAAATGCGTAGAACTTTCCTACTACATTCCCGGATCTGAGCAAAAGCATCTATGGAAGAGTTGGTTATAAACGCCTATAAACTATTTTATACTATTTTGATCCTAAACAAGTGTTTCATCATAACAGGAAAATCCTTTAATTTCTACCGTACTCGATTTAGTATAGAAGAATTTACAGACGAATTATTTTGTATCCATAAAATAGTTCAAATATTTGGACATGGCGACTTTGAATGATTTAAATCTAAAACACATAATTCTGTTGGTATTGTGGTCTTGATACCCAATGTAAATTCTCAAATGGACACAAAAGTAAAGACGATATTAATGTATACAGGTTACACATTTTTAGAATGACTATCTTTAGCCTTTACATCGTAGATCTAGCAGTCCAGGAGGGCTTCGTTCTGCGTTTACAGATGGCGACACTGATGATCGCTTGCTACTTATGCAATGGTTGGAATTAAGTATTTCATTCGATTTTTTAATAAGCTATTGTCAGAATATGATTTTGTGAAGTTAGTTGCTCATAGATACAAACTATAATACTATTTACTGTAAAATTATTATTATTATTATTACACAGGTCTGCGAAAAAATACTTCTTAAAAATTGTTTTGACCCCATGATATTTTTTTAATAAATAAATGGCAACTACCATATTCTGATTTTTATTTAACCGAGAAAAATGTACCTGATAATTCGTTGATGAACAAACTAGTAATAAAGTGCGCAATTGGCTACTCATAAAGTGCTCAATTGGCCGGTCTCTGTTTGGTCATTGGTGCTCAATTGGCGTGTCCGGCTACGGTATCAATTTTACCTGAGGGTAATAAAGTGCTCAATTGGCGTCCGTCCTTAACATTTGTAATACTTTTATGAAACTACTGCACGTTACCTTTTATTGTTTCTATAGGAAGAGGCCATCTTTTTGTAACTGTATAATAGAACAACATAAGTTTTATCAAAGGTTTGCAAGTTTTTATAATAAAACCATTCGAATATTTTATAAAATCTGTTTCTATTAATAATTTGAATCAATTCCAGTTCTCTGTATTTTACAGAATAACCGTGTCGTCTGAAAAATTTACAATATTTTCATCTGTAATTAAACGACAAATTATTTAAAATAAAATTAAACAAGATAGGACCTAAGACAGTAACTTGAGGCATGCGATATGCTACTTATTGCCCTACTTGAGATATTATTAATTCTATTTGTGTTCGTTTTTGTAAATAAGTTTGTAATAAATTATATAGGGTGCATCACATTCATACAATAAACTTCTATTATACGAAAAAAACGGCACATGATATAGTTATTAAAGAATTTAGTTACTTATATACTTCAAACGGACCACTTCTATTGTTAAAACAGCTGTTGGTAGAAGTTTTATTCTTGGTTTTGAGGTTCGATCTGCTTTAATCTGCTTTGAAATAGCGTGAATACAAAAAATTAAGATATTTTAGCTCATAATTTGTTTGTTGCATGAATTCAAGCCATAACTTTGTT